CTCCCCGCTGTGAGCCAGAGGCCAGCAGAATGTGTGTATCTGCTTGTGTCCGATTCCTGGACATGGATGTTTGGTGATACTGGGTAGGCCCCATCAGAAACGCAATCCATCAGTGCCCTGCATCAGTGCACAGACCCGGGTCTCTGCAAGTCAGTGGGGTTGGGCCTCTTCAGTTAGTGGAAGTGTCCCTGCAGCTCCTCAGAAGACAATGGATCTACTTTGAAGATCTTTCAGTTCATCCGAATAGTTTTGTAGTGAAATCCTCTAGAGCCTGAGAGTGGATGCCTGGGCCAGCTCAGCCTCAGGGTTGAACTAAGCCCCATCAGGGCTGCTACCCCACGTGACCCCATTCCAGCTAGCATCCAAGCAGTGAAGCCAAAGCCAGGGCATTTGCCTGTCTGCCTTTCCCGGGGGCAGGAATGCTGTTTCTGCTGGGTGAATCCCCTGCCTGGGCTCAGAGACCCTTCTCATCACCTGATTTACATTCCTGGTTCCATCTGTTTTATATATTGGGTCTCCTAATATTTGGTTTAAAGAAAAGGTTTTGTTACTTCCAAAAGCATTCGTTGCAAACCTCACACCAGAAAAGTCTAAAACAGAGAGGCCCAGATGGCTGTGGACATGACCCGGAAGCTGGTCTTGCTCCTGTGTGGCTGGAGTCACTGATTCATACCCCCACCTTGTTTCTTCTTTGAAACTATATAAACTGCCCAGCTGGGGAACAAAAGAAAGGCAGGGGCTGGGCTGAGCCAGGAGCAAAGGGGTCACAATGGCCCATGGGGAGCTGCTCCTCTCACAGAAACGTTAGCTTGGTCTCACAAGTGGGGTCTGTGGGCTCCCCGAAGGCTGGGTGTGGAGCTCAGGCCTGGGCTGGGTCTGGGTGGCTGAGCGTGGTGGCAGACTGGGTTCGGGCTGTGGTTAACCAGATGCTTGGACCACCCGTCCACAGGCCTGTGTGATGAGGAGGGTTGGCCTCCAGCATGAATAGAGGCCAGGAAGGCAGAATAGAGAGTGATAGGAAATGCCCCAAGCCTGAACACATTGAAGAAGTCAGGCTCAAGGCTTTGGGCAGGAGTTTGGCAGGAGCCAACAGGGTGACAGATGATCAGGAGCCCAAAGGGTGGCAGATGTGTGACCTCAGACCCCAGCGTCACTTGGCTGCAGAGGCCTGTGTTAATCCATCAGGAGCTGCCTTCATTCCTTCCCTGTCCCAGCAGGAGCTAGAGGACAAAGGAGACTGGTCTCAAGGCTGGCAGTGCGGGGCTCCAGATAGCTGGCTGGGCTGTAGGTGAGCAAGTGTGTGCATGTGCATGTGTGTGTGTGTGTGTGTGTGTGTGTGTGTGTGTGCGCGCGCGCGCGCGCGTGAGGGCATGAGTGTGACCATACGTGTGCATGTGTGAGTGTGTATTGGGTGGTAAAGATAGAAAGCACATGCAATCATCATAAGAAGTAGCTCCAGGCCTCCCGGAGACCTGTTTGTCCCCAAGTCCCAGCACTGAAATCATGCTTTTGACACCACCCCGGGGCCTGGTGCCACCCTCCTCTGGGCCATTCTCCTACAGATAGGCCATCTTAGCTGACTTGAGCAACACAGGCCCATGCCCAGGTGGTTCACACTGGGAGCAACACATCCTTCCTATGGAGACAACACCACCGACACACCATCAAGAAACTCTGCAATCAACACCCATGGCTCAGGGGCTGATGCCAGGATGGTGCTGGGAAGATAGGCCACAGGATGCTACAGATCCCAGAGGGTATGAATCTCAGTAAGAGCACATGGCTACAGAAAGTTTATACTTGGCGTATCTGATAGACCATTGGAAACATAGAGACATCCATAGCCTCAAAGAGAAGGATCCACACTTTTCTTTCTTTTTTTTTGAGTTGGATTCTCACTCCGTTGCCCAGGCTGGAGTGCAATGGCACACTCACAGCCACTGCAGCCTCAACCTGCTGGGCTCCGGCGATCCTTCCGCCTCAGCCTTCCCAGAAGCTGGAACCATAGGCATGTGCCACAACACTCAGCTTATTTTTTGATATATTGTAGAGATGAGGTCTCACCATGTTGCTTAGGCTGGTCTCAAATCCCTGAGCTCAGGCAATCCTCTCGCCTCTGCCTCCCAAAGTTCTGGGATTACAGGCTTGAGCCGCTGTGCCTGGCTAGTATCCACACTTTCAGCTGAGGTCTGAGGAAAGGTGTGGCCAGAGCATGAGTAGCATTTTGAAAGCTGAAGGAATTGAAGAGGACTTTCCAAGGTGGAAGGATGGCCTGAGCTGTGGTACAGGGATGGTCAAGCACAAGGTAGATGTGGGGTGTGGCAAGGAGATGATTTGGGGGCTCCTGGGGAGCACCAGCTTGCTTTCTCCCCATGAACCATGGCACTGCTAGTGCAGGGGTGCCGTTGGTGGCTGTGGAACAGGTGTTTTCTCTGCAAAGTTAACTGGCTCACAAGGGGCTACAACTCCTGTCCTCCACCTCAGTGGCATTTTCCTCTAATTGGAGCTAAGAAGGTCAGCTAAACAGACTATATTTGGCTTACACTGCTCCCTGTAGCCCAACTGCTAAAATCATCACCTGCCAAAGCCAGCTCACCAGATGGACTAGGATTTTTCACCTCACGTGATGAAGCATGTCCATTGGCTCCTCCAACCCAGTAACAGCAACACATCCTTCCAGATACTCCTCCCTTTCTTCTCAAAGTCTTGTCATCCTTCCCAACTGCTGTCTTCTCAATGTCTTGTTACCCTTGCAAACGACTGCCTCGGCAGTCTGGCAGACTCTCTGACTCTCTGTATGGATTTGACCTTCGGCTGGGCAAGGGGGCAGCCCTTGGATAGCCACTGCCTAGCAACATCTCTACCGTCCTTGAGAAACAGAGACATTGTCTGCTTGACAGTTGAGGCAGGCTGTTGGCTTTTGGACTGTGTATAGTGAAATACAAAAATTAAGTCCCTTAATTAATAGTTAGCTCACTTTAAAATATTACTTAGGATTAAATTCTTTCTAAACTTCATTTTTTCCCCCTCTACTCTCTACTTTCATCCCCCATCTGCACTGGTTTTTGATTTCATGATTTTTTTTTTTTTTTTTTGAGTTGGAGTCTCACTCTGTCACCCAGACTGGAGTGCAGTGGCCACTCCTGGCCACCGCAGCCTCGACCTGCTGGGCTCCAGCGATCCTTCCGCCTCAGTCTTCCAAGTAGCTGGAACTACAGGCGCGCGCTACCATGCCCAGCTAATTTTTGGTTTATTGTAGAGATGAGGTCTTGCCAAGTTGCCCAGGTGGGTCTTGAACCCGCAAGCTCAGGCAATCCACTCACTTCAGCCTCCCAAAGCGCTGGGATTACAGGCTGAGCCACCGAGCCTGGTTGATTTCATGATTTTAAAAAGAAACCTGCAGAAGAAGTTTGTACACCTGTCTTAAGGAAAGTCATGTCTAAGGCTGATTTTTCTTAGGCAAGCGTAAAACTCCACACTGCCTATTCTTTTTCCACAAAAGAAGGGGAGAAATTGAAGCAACTGCTTGGTGATTCTGGTCACAGACTAGCTTTTACATGAGTTCCTGGGATATTGGTATTATACCTGTCTCTAGGAATAAAAGCACTTCAGAGAGTTTTAGAGATCCAAAAAAGGGAAGGAAGGAAGGAAGGAAGGAAGGAAGGAAGGAAGGAAGGAAGGAAGGAAGGAAGGAACCCAACCCCCCCCCAATAAAACACTGAAAAACTGGTCAGTTGAATCCATCCAATAGAAAGACAAATCATTCATTTGTAGTCAAGTACAACTATCGGGGAGTCACCCAATTCTATCTTTGGACTTTCAAGGAAGTTCTGTTGTCCATTGCTAAGGCATTGATGGACCCAGTTTCATTCTTCCTTCCTCATGTCACGGAAAGGGAGAGGCCCACAGTTCTTGGTCATAACTCCAGGTATTGATAACACCAGGAAGTCACATAACATATAGAATGTCTTTCTCATGGTATAGGAAGCAAGGGTATCAACTTTGAAATCTAACAGGTATAGGTTTAAATCCAGTTCTGCTATTTTTCCTTTGTGATTTTGTGTAGGTTTCTCAACTCTCTGAGCCTGCCTATAGAATAGAAATACTAACACCCACCCCGGAGAGCTCTTGGGAGGATTTCTGGAATAGTGCCTGATTCTTAGCAGCAAACATAAGTTCCCTTTCCTCTTCCTCTGTGTCTCTGCTCATAATCTTTCCCCCACCTTTACAATCCTGGCTTTTCATCAGAAACTCTAAGCAGAAACCAGATGCTATAATGAGATATTCAAATGGAACAAGGTGTTAATGAATGAAGATCATCATTCATCTTGCTCCGGGGTTTTGGCTGCTTTTTCCTTATTTGTGGTAGGCTTCAAGGTTTGCTCTGAAATTTGACCACAACCTGAGCTTCTCATTGACAATTTCTGTTTAGCTTTTGAGAATGCCATAGAAAGCAACAGAAAAAGGTGACTCTAGGGAGAGAACAATCCAGGAAAGAACATGCAGTAATCTTGAGCTGGGGAAGAAGATGAAAACAATGTCAGGGCTCAGGGAAACATGGTAATTCTTTCTGTCAACAAACATTTATTGAGCACCTGCTGCATATGGGCTCAGGTTTATGATGAGATGCCCAAGAAATGGGAGACCTGATTACTGCCTCTGTGCTTATGATCTAAATGCATATGTAAAAGACTAGTTCTAGGTGTCAATCACACAGCTCCTAAAGGGTTTCAGACTAAAGGAACAACTGGTTGTGTTTAAACTAGTAAGGCTTCCTGAAAAAGGCAAGTTTTGAGCCAATTTGAAGGAAATGAGGGTCATGGGTTAAAGGAGAGAAATTCAGGGTCTGAAACCACAGGTGTCAAGGTTCAGTGATAAGGGGTTGTTCTGGGTGAAAAGCCCCCTCCTCCTCAAATGCTGTGTCATCTCTCTTCACCTGGAACCCCCTTTCACTGGCCTAGCAGGGACCCAGGCAGGGGCTGGGCCACAAGTGATCTAACCTCACTGGATCGAAGGACTCCGAAGAACGGGTAGAGGAAGGCTGGCACCAGGGCTGCAGCTCCAAGAGGCACCGCCTCAGACACCCAGTACACAGCAGTCACGATCAGCACGTAAGCACACGCAGCCTCCTGCAGGGGGCGAAATAGAGGGTCAGTTATGGGGACAGTCACTGCCACCAAGCCTCCTGATGAGACCCAAGGCCGAGGCAGCAGGCATCCGGACCAGCCTTGGGAGTCTGAGTGTGCTGCAGGACTACCCCAGATAGCAAAGCACTGAATCCAGACACCAAAGCTGTAGCCTCGCCACAGCTGGAGCAGCTTTGCTTTCATTTGATTCATATACTAGCAACATTACATGTAAAATTATATTTGGAAAAAAAAGAGGTTTTACGGCTTTAAAAATGAATAAACGAACTTAACGCCCCTTGCTTTAGACTGTCTGAACACTGTGTACTAGCATTTTCTCCAGCCCACTCACTGCTGGCTGCACAGACTGAGGGTACATAGAATAACTGGGCACCACATTCTTACCAATTGCCAGCCTGCCTTATCCGTGGCCTCTGGGAGGGCTGACTGCCCTGATGACTCTGGTGAGTGGAGTCAAGAAAGGTCACCGGCTTATCCTTTGGAGAGGTAACTATCCAGGGCTTTCATAATGGCAATATCGCAAGCCCAGTGACTCAGGGCCATTTATAGAAAATTCAAGTTGGCTGTGGGTTCATTTCTACACAGTTCTAAACCCTCAGGGCTCATGTCTGACCCACGCTGATTGCTGGCTGCTGGTTCAGGAGCCTGACAATCTTGCTCAGTTTATGGCCCCTTGAGTTCAGAAGGCGCAGCACAAACGGGTGCATAAAAGTTATGAAAGGCAAGGCGTGGTGGCTCATGCCTATAATCCCAGCACTTTGGGAGGCTGAGACGAGAGGACTGCCTGAGCCCAGGGGTTTGAAATCAGCCTGGGCAACTTGGTGAGACCTCATTTCTACAATAAATCAAAAAATTAGCCAGGTGTGATGGAGCATGCCTGTAGTACCAGCTACTGAAGGCTGAAGCAGAAGGATTGTCTGAACCCAGCAGATCGGGACTGCAGTGGCTGGTAGCTGTAATCATGCCACTGCACACCAGCCTAGGTGACAGGTGAGACTCTGACTCAAAAAAAAAAGTGACAAAAGGTTGTTACATCAGAGAGGGGTAGCAGGAGTGCTTGGCCTGGCTTGGCAGGAGGGACCTCTCAGCCTCCTGATGTTCATGGACTGTGAAGTTGAGGTTGAGAAGTGGGAACTGGGCCCAACACTGTTGACCATAGCTCCCACTGAGATTTCCTCTGGGGCTAAAAGATCAGAGGGAAGATAAAACTTTTGGCAGTGCTGATAAAACAACAGAACCAACCGAGGAAAACAAATGTTTCCATTCTGAATGTCAGAGAAATGCCCTCTTTGCTGCAGACAGAAAACCACCTAAAGGAATTCAAAGCCCCCTAATTCTGATCTCTTTTCTGGGAGACAGAATGACAGGTGTTAACTCCGGTAGAACACAAAGAACACAGAGTGTCTGTCCCCACATCCTCTCCTGTGAACCCTTTCTTGTCCTGCTCACTGCCAGGCCACAAGTTAATGTGGGGTTGGCAGAGAGAAGATGGGGAGAAAAAGGCGGGGGAAAGAGCTAGAGGAAGGGAAAAGAGAGCAGAAGAGGGAGAGAGAGAGAGAGAGAGAGAGAGAGAGAGAGAGAGAGAGAGAAATTTCCTTTTGCCAGGCAAAGGTTAGGTTTAAATTAGGAGACTCTGTGTAAGCTAAAGAAAACTTTTTTTTGAGCTGGAGTCTTACTCTGTCACCCAGGCTAGAGTTCAGTGGCAGGCACGATTACAGCTACCAGCTACTGCAGCCTCGACCTATTAAACTCAGGCGATCCTTCTGCCTCAGCCTTCCAAGTAGCTGGAAGTACAGGCACATGCCACCATGCCCAGCTAATTTTTTGATTTCTTGTAGAGACAATGTCTTGCCTTGTGGCCTAGGCTGGCCTCAGGCAATCCTCTCACCTCAGCCTCTCAAAGTGTTGGGATTATAGCCATGAGTCACCACACCTGGCCTGAAGAAAACTTTTTGATAGTAAATGATATTAGAAATGAGAATGAGTTATTGAAGGAAGTCACCAGGCTACCTTCATCTCATAGTATTAAAGACAGGATGATCTACTATCATTTTTATCTGGATTTTCCTCAAAGCAGAAAAATAAACAAGAGACTGTTACAGGCTGAAAAGAGGCCATTTTGGTTATATTATAACAGTCATTTTAAAAAGTCTTAAAAACTTGCACTCTTTTGTAGCTGAGTTGGACTAAACGTAAAAGCCACCTGAATTTAAAACTGCACATTCTTTCTCCCCCCCTTCACTATCCTTACCGCCCCTTCTCCTCTCCTAGCACAGTCTTGCCTGATTGGGCTAGAAGACCAATCTTATCTAGTAAGACATTGTTGGTGATAAAGAAGAAACAGCCAGCAAGCAAGACCACCTAATGATTAGGAGAGTGGTGTAGGGCCGGCAGGAGTGTGTCTGAAAGCTTGGAGTGGGCATTGCCCACCTCTCCTCCATCTGTAAATATGAGGACATCAGACTGTTATAGCCCAAAGTCTGGGAATAAAAGGTTGCTACAATTATGTTTTAAAACAATTTAAAGTTATCATCTTAAATATTATGACTTTCCCTTCCTTCCACATATTGCAATTGTCTGCACCTTCCTCTAAAAAACAAACATATTGTAAATTCCAAAGTGCTACCTAAAATGTCAGCATGACTGGAAGATTTTGTGTCATGTCAGTGGTCATGTATCAACAATTGTTAATGTAAATCTTGAGTCATGCTAAAACTGCACATAGGCTTCAAACTTGGGGTGGTTGAAGGGCTTTGAGTTTGGGGCATAAGTATTGGAATGAACTTGTGTTACTTGGAGTGGAATTTTTGAGAATGATGCTGACCTGTCTCTCTATAACCTGGTTGTAGAAATTAAATGAAACACTCCAGAGCTTTTCTCCCAGTCTTTCGTATCTTAGTTGGTTGTGAAGGATAGTAGCCAATTTATTGGATCCGGCTGTAACAAGACTACCTGTAGAGGGTCTTGCCATATATTTCTACTTAAATCACCATAAACTCTCTTTTGTCCTTTCTTTTTTTTTTTTTTTTTTTTAAGTTGGAGTCTCACTCTGTCGCCCAGACTGGAGTGCAGTGGCCGCTCCTGGCCACTGCAGCCTCGACCTGCTGGGCTCTGGCAATCCTTCCGCCTCAGCCTTCCGAGTAGCCGGAATTACAGACGTGCGCTACCACGCCTGGCTAATTTTTTGATTTTATTGTAGAGATGAGGTCTTGCCTGCCCAGGCGGATCTCGAACCCGCGGGCTCAGGCAATCCACTCACCTCAGCCTCCCAAAGGCGCGGGATTACAGGCTGAACCACCGAGCCTGGCTTGTCCTTTCTTAATCTTCTTAAAGTTCAGTAGGTAAACTTGTATTCAGACATCCCAAAATACCCTGTGAAGTTTGATTATAGGAGTCTGGTGTCCCCAGCATCTCGCCAAAGTCTGACAGGCAGCTCAATTAACGCTGGCTGAACTGAACAGGACTTCCCTGTTGGCTGAGAAGTCTCTCTAGCCTTTTGGAAAGAATATTCTGGAACCCCTCAAGCCCTTTATCAACACCCTGGCTCCTTATCAGCAGGTGTGTTGCGGTTGGTGAGTATTCAGACAATGCCTTCACAGGACAGTGCTGTCCATTATTCTGGGCTCCTGTTTACAGATAAAGAGTTCAGAAGAGGCATTTTGTTCTGTGTGGGATGTTTTTCGGGCTGCTACTGGCTCAAGCTTGGAATTGCTCCTTCCACACAGGTCAGCCACCCAAGGCTATCTCATTCCTCCCTCTTCGGAAGGGGCTTGACATCTTTTTTTTTTTTTGAGTTGGAGTCTCACTCCATTGCCCAGGCTAGAGTGCAGTGGCATGTTCACGGCCACCCTAGTGTCGACCTGCTGGACTCAGGCGATCCTTCCACCTCAACCTTCCGAGTAGCCAGAACCACAGGCACGCACTACCACGCCTGGCTAATTTTTTATTTATTGTAGAGACAAGGTCTCATCAACTTGCTTGGGTTGGTCTCGAACACGTGGGCTCAGGAAATTCACCCACCTCGGCCTCCCAAAGTGTTGGGATTACAGGCTGAGCTATTTCTGTCATGAATGACTGGAAGGCCTTTAATCAAATGAGTTTGGGAAGTTGTGTGCAACTTTTATCCCACTGGGGACACTGAGAAGGGTTTAGTTACTGATACCCCTCTGTGCTCTCTTCTTCTGTAACAAGATAAAGAGTCTGGATCTCTGGTTTTAGAGAGCTGGGCAACAGAAAGGGGGTAGGTTACCCCTCCTAAAATGCAGGTGGGGCTTGTCACTTTGAAGAACCATCAAAACTGCAGATTGGGGGCTCCTGCCCAGGCACTCAGCCACCACTTTCAACTGTAGTCCAGAGTGAGAAAATCCATCTAGGAATTTTAAGGGTTAAATATCAGAATCTAAAAGTGTGAGGTCTGGGCATGGTGGCTCACACCTGTAATCCAGTGCTTTGGGAGGCCAAGGAGGTAAGATTGCTTGAGGCCAGAAGTCCAAGATAGGCCCGGGCAACATATTGAGACCCTGTTTTTACAAAAAAAAAAGGAAAGAAAAATTAGGTGGGCATGGTGCTGGGCATGGTACTGCGCACCCATAGTTCTAACTACTTGGGAGTCTGAGGAGGGAGGATCGTTTGAGCCCCAAAATTTGAGGCTGAAGTGAACTATGATTGCACCACTGCACTCCAGTCTCTGGGAGACTCTGTCTCTGAAAAAAAAAAAAAAGTTTGATGCTGTGGCAAACAACTGGTGAGAGGCACATTGTATGTGTGGCATCTGGTTTATGCCTCCTGTGGGTACTGGATAAGGTCCCCAATGAAGAGGCTGAGTTAAAGGGGACATGTGAGGTTCCTGATACTGCTTTGGAGAGAAGGCTAATGTGTCTCTGGTAACATTCCCTTAAATCAACCAGACATGAAGTTAAAAAAAGCCATGAAAAGACAAGAAAAAAAAATCAGGCCTATTTGGACAAAGCAGAAGATTTGATGAGCATTGGTTGTACAGCACTGGAAAAATGTCATCAGCCATCACTGTGTTAATCTCAGCCAGTTGTAATTAGTGTCTCTTTGGCACTTTGGGGTACTTATTCTCTAAAGATTTAAGCCACTTCCCCCCCCCCCCCCCAGTTAAATACTAATCCCCTGTATTTAACTTTTTTGACTTAATCTTGGTTACCAAGTTACTCAAGATGTGGAAGACACCCTCCTCCTCCCCAAACATGATTAACCTGTTTCGGCTTGTTTTCCTAAGATCTCAAGGGCGTCCAGTTGAGGGAGGGGAGCCGCAGGCCGAGGAGGACAGGGGTGTAGGGAAGGCAGGTGCCCAGGAGTCAGGAGAAGTAGCAGGGCTTGAGCTCTGCTCTTGTGTTCACACAAGGTTCGTGAGAAATGAGGTCACAGTCTAGCGTCCAGAAGCTCTTGTTTCCTTTTTATCATGTCATTTTCTGTCTGCCCTTCAAGAGCATGGAGAGGAAAACAGAGAACCCAAACGATTTGTGACCACGTGTGCGAGACCAGGGCACAGCCTCTGCATTCAGCTTAGAGGCGTTCCCAAAGGTCAACAGGGAGCGTGAGGGGCTGAGGCAGGACCCTCCCAACCAGATTCGTTCTCAGTGTCACTATCAGGGCCTTCCTGTATTTCTAGTTTTTCTCCGAGGTGGCCACACAATTGATTATGACAGGTACAGGCCACCAACCTGGCCCTCTCATGCTGTCCCCTCGCCCCTGCTGTCAGGTGGACTGGTCAGCTGTCTTGTGTCAGTCTGTCATTTCTGGCAAGGTCTCTTCTCTGTTCTCACTTGTAACGGGGCTGTGGAATTGGAGACCTGGGCTGGGATAGAGGGATGGACATGACAGTGTTTAGGAAGAAGCTATTTTGGTTCTTCCAGAAAAACACTTCCATTTCTTCAAAGCCACAGAAAACCATTTTTAGGGACTGCCTGAGCACCCCATTCGCTCCACCGACTCCCCCCTCACCCCTGACCCTCTCCCCAGCCCTGGCCCAGCAGGCCGGTCAGTACTCACGCTGCTGGGGTGGAGGATGGGCAGGGGCAGCAGCAGAAGTGGGACGAAGACGACCAGCAGCAGGTTCCGGGCCCGGAGCAGGTCCCCCATCAAGCCCATGTCGCTGTCCCCTCTCCAGGCCTCGGCCTGCTCCCTGCGGGATGCTGCTCTCTTTCCAGAAGGACTTCGTAAACCTGTCTTGGCTTCCAGGAGTCCTCTCTCTTCTTGGGCAGAATGGAAAGCAGTTGTATCCCCGGGTCCACGAGAGGCTGGCTGCTGGCCTCCTTAGGTGGGCTTGATGAGCATGGTTTTATGACCAGCAGAAAGGAACTGGGAAAGGATTGTGAACGGGGGCATGGTGGTCCCTCTCGGTTCGATTAGTAACAGAGCCACTTCATTCTGGGTGTCAGCAGAAGCACTCTTAATCAATTACGGTGACACCTTTACTGCTGCTGCGTGGCCTTGAAGAAATCATTTAAAAGCTTAAAACAATTAAAAATACTCAGAACACATTGTGCTCTCCATCATTTTTCCTCCCTTTGATGGCCTGTTCTGGGTTGTGCCTGTTTCATCTCCTACCTATGCTCGCTGTTGGTAAAAATCTAGTATCCACTTCTCTTCAAACCAGCACTTGAGCTGCTCAGAGGTGCAAGCGGACTTCCAATTGGGTCGCGGGCCTCTTGAGGACCTGCCACCTTAACTCTGCTCAAATTTCTTTCCTTCGCATTGCTTTCCTAACTTAGAATTTGCCTTGAGCCTGGGCCTCCAAAAAAGACAAAAAACCCCAGGACATTCCTTTTTGTCACAGGACAAAAGTTGCTGGAGGCCCACCTTTAACTCTCATCCACCAATGGGAAGCCGGGACAGAGGCAGCAGCTCCGCCCACTTCTTGAAACCAATCGGCAAGTTGAAAAGAAGGAGCCAATATCTCTTCCAAATGCAGTGCTTGATTGGTCACAGCAGGGGCCTGCTGATTCTGCAGAACCCAGGCAGCTTGCAAAGCTTATTTTTCAGTTTCTCACACATTTTAGGGCCGAAGTGATGACTATTATCATAAACATAATCTCACCTTCCCAAGCACTGTTTTACTGTTTCAGAGCATAGGACACAGTGCTTTCCCTGGGAGGGCCACTTGCTGGTCTAATCCTTGGGAAAATGATGTGACTGGTGGCAGGGAGAAAATGCAATATTAATCTGGAGAAATTTGTCCCAGAGTGCACAAAATTAAGGCTTTCAGACTTCCCTCCTTCAGCACCTGGGAATGCAAGAGGTCTAGGCCAGCAGAGGGCTTGACCCTGTAAGAAAGACCCAGATCTTTTAGCAAGGATGGGAAGGGGAGCTGCCTCTCTGGCCAGGTCTAGACGCCAGTCAAATGCTCAGATGTCAATGGTCTTTTTGGCTGATAGGTGCCCAAATGCTCCTCTATGAGGTGTTCCAAAAAGGAAACAAGACCTTTTGTGGCTGGTACACAGCAGGAGGTGACCTGACAGGGAAGAAGCTGACAACTTTAGGGACAAGGTCTTAGCAGCAACTAAACTCTGGGATTTCTCCTACTACAGGTTGGGAGAAACTGATAGTCTCTTTTCTCAGAATGGACATGTGGATTTGAGACAAAGAAGAAAAGAAAAGAAAAAAAAAGCCCAAGCATCCTATACGTGGGGTCCTTGGTAACATTACATTGATCTGGGGATGCTGAGCAGAGTCAAGGGGCTATAAATCCCCTGTTCTCTTGAGTTCACAGAATGGAAAGAATGGAAGCCCAAGATCTATGGCTCTGTTGCCTGGAAACAGTCTCCAGGCTAAAGGAAAACTGACCGCAGAAAACCCGTTCTTCTTGACTTCCAAGGCAGGTGCAGCTATAACGAGCCCAAGTCCCCTGTGACATCATCTTGCTGTCAAAGGATGGGTTGGAATGACTCATCTCTGTGAATGCATGTTAGAGACTGGCCACTGTATTTACTATGTTCCAGCCTCATTTCTTTAATGATTTTGGAACTCAAAATGAACAGTACCACATGTGTGATGTTTTGGTTGTAAACATGAAAGAAACTGGGTAATAATACACAGCCGTGGAAGTCACCATCCGCTGTTCAACCCACAAACCACTTCAAATTCCTTGGTGAGCTAATCTGAGTAACAAGGATTCCAGTAAGTTTAGAGACTCAGTCATGGAAGTCATTTTTATTACATAATAGATGTGCGTTTATAAATAAAATTAGGTAAGGCAAGTGACACAGTAAGACCAGTAGTTCTCCTCCAGGACTTTATCCATTTTGCAGGTGAAGAATACAATGCTCCAGATGTGTAAGACAGATTCCACTTGAATGAGGTATCTAAAGTAGTCAGATTCATAAACACAGAAAGTAGAATAATGGTTGCCAAGGGCTGGGGGAAGGAATGAAGGGGGTTGTTCAAATGTTTACAAGATGAAAATGTTCTAGAGGTCTGTTGCACAACAATGTGCATAGAGTTAGCACTACTGTACTATATACTTAGCAATGGTTGAAATGGTACATTTTATGTTATTTTTTTAACACAATAAAAAAAGAAATGTGAGACAATGAAATGGATTAGGAAAGTAAGGGATGTTGTGCAAAGTCATGGGACTAGCAATTAATTTTAGACCTGCTCACCTGCAGAAATACTTTCGACTGATTCATTAGATTCAAGTAAGATAGCAGAGCAATGAAAGTTTCAGCACCTAGATGTTTGTCAGTGTCTCTTGAGTGACACCAAAGACAGCCACAAGGACACCAACTAGAGAGGAGAGTTTTAGGGTTTTTAGATCCTAAAACTACTCAGCAGCATCAAAACGGCAGAAATGTTTCCATAAATCATGGGCAAATTTCTACTATAAACATCACACTCCCAAATTATTCTATGAGTAAATATGACAAGATGTGACCCAATTGTGACTGTGGCTGTATAGAGTGTGGCACTAAGTAGGAAAAATGGAAGAGTCTGTTTCTCTCTGTCCAGTCTATATTTCTATGATCACTGGGCAAAGAGTAGGGTTTTGTGGGTGCTGGGAGCTTAATATTTGATTCTGCATGTCAATGAGGTCATTGTTATCAAACTTTTTGTGAATAGCAAATTAATCTGTATTCAGAATAAAATAATGTGTAAGTATATAGTTACTGAATTGAAGCCTTCCTTTGTCTTTAAAAAGGTCATGTCCTTTTTTCTATTTTTTTTCATTCATTGATTGCCATGTAAACTCAGGCCACAGTTCGTGAATACAAAGTTCTTTCCATTTTTACTGTTGCTGAGTGAATGAACTACCACTGCCACCAGTGGTCCTGGGATCCATCCTACCACTGGGGGTAGCCATCTATATCATAACATGGTGGGCAGGGAATGCAAGGGTGTGTCTTCCTCCCGATGATTCTGAGTACAAACAAGCTCTCAGACCTTTCTAATGGTGATGGAGTCTCCAGGTGGGATGCTGGACTCTGACTGCTAGGGTATTGACATTGTTTAGGGATCTACAGGGACAGTGTCCAAGGATAAGGCCATTGCTCATCCACTCCCACCCCACATCTGGAAAAAGTAGCAACAGTGAAGGTAGTGTCAGGTTGATCTGCCACTGGGTGATTCAAATCCTGTCTGTACATTGACTTTTGTTTTATTCAAACAATGATACCCAGAGAGGACAGAGAGAGAGTGTGTCAGCATATGGGCAGGCAGAGATAGAGAGAGAGAGGCAAAAGTCAACCGGTAGGAACTTAGAGATGCACCGAGAAACAAATACAAAGATATTCAAATTGGGCCCAAATATAGAGCAGTAAAGACACAGACTAAAATAAAAAGAGACTAACAGAGGGACCATGTCAGAGAGAACATATTATACCAGAAAGAGAAAGGCTGAACAAAAAAGCATATTTCAAAACCTGTGTTTGGGAGAGTAAAAGAGCAGTGTAAGCAGGGAGTGAGAAAGACAGACATGGTGGTGTGCATCTCCTGAGTCTGAAAAATCAGGGTGCAGAGCTGATGATGAATACCTTCTTCCTGCAGACTAGTATTTCTCCAAAAGGACCATGAAGGTGGGAGTTGCGAGGCAAATCTCATGTGTGCAAAGATTTTGAAGAAGTCTAGACTTTTTCACCAGCAAATGACAGTTGCTAAATACCCATCTCAGAAACAAATTTAGCTCAGTGAATCCTCACTTATTCAAAGATCAGACTTCTTGTAGGTGAAAACCTAGGGGAAGTCAGAAAGCTCTCTGAGCTGGTTTTCCGATTAGAAGCAAGGTCCTTTATCCTTGCAGAGGCCTGCATCTGTTAACTCTTATTTAACACAGAGTTAACACAAGCCTGTCTTAGTTTTTAGATAACAGCAGCTAAGAAATAATAAATTGGGAAGGGCAAGTTGCATGGGAAACAAAGACAAATGCGTTCTAGCAGCCTGCCAGTGAAGAAAGCAAACTCAGAACAGTCACAGGGCGAGCAGGGTGGGAACCTTGCATAGTTGGTGGAGATTGTGCAACGCCCTCCTTGTGGTATCTCACAGACAGTGGAGTGATTGTAGAAATTTCTTAGGTGGAAGGAATCTCAGAGATTATCTTTCTAACCTCCTCATTAGAATATTTCATACGATCATCTCAAGATACTAAATAAAAGCTTAGAGTCATTTGTAGATACAGCTTAAATAGATATCAAGTCAATATTTCTGAAAATGAAAGTTTTGGCATTTGCAAGGGTGGCATTCTGTATCTGAAAATCATTTTTATTTGGATACCTCATTCTCTGATGATGCTAAATCATGTTGGCATTAAGACAGATAGGCTTGGGGCCTTCGTGCCAGCCTAGTTGCTGGGAAGGTACTTCTTTATTGCTTGGTTTCTCTGTTCAAAGGCAAGGCATGACTAGGCTAGTAGCATTTCTGTGGGCCCCTTCTTGTTTCTCTTCAGGGTTAGACTAGCTTTCAGAAAAAAAAGAGTTAAGACATAAAGGTAAAAAAAAATTATTTTCTGACTGATTCTCCTTGGTGGTTTTTGGAAAAGGCAAGAAGTATATTCCTGGTGGAGAGTATATTTATTTGGCTCTGGTTCCTTTATATTTGCTATAAAACCTCTAGAAGAATGTTCATTCAGCTCGGCACCCTGGTCTTCCAGGACCAAAGAATCTGTTCCCCATCTCCCTGCCATGTCCAGACCTCTTTATGCCTCTCCCCTGGCTCTGTCCTCACTCTTGGGGTGTGTGGCCATTGCTCTGTGTTGAAGCATACCCTAGAACTCTGCCTGTCACAAGGAAGCTGTCCTGCCTAGGGAGGCCTCTGAAATGAACACTCTAGCCCTTCTTCCAGCCCAGGCCACATGATGGCATGGATCAGGCATGTCTACCAGGATGCTGCAAGCGGCACAGGCATTGGGGGTGGCTCTGGTTTCCTCTCTGCTGTTCTGAGCTGATGGTTTGTGTTTTGTGGCTGGTCTCTATGGAGGGAGTAGAGGTTGAAGACTTTCTGGGTTACTGCATGTGCCGGACCCTGCTCCGTGGTCCTGCTGTGGGCCAGTCCCTCAGAGGGGCACCCCTGGCTGTGAGGACCGCATCAAGTCTTGCCTTAGGGCCTGAAAGAGGCTGACAAGGGCCTGGGCCCAGATGTCCCTCTGATAACCATGGGCCAGGGCTGTGCGGTAGGCTGTGTAGGCCAGGGTCAGCACTGTCCTTTCGAAGTCTTCCTTCTTGAGGATGCCAGGATGGCTGGAGAGACTGGCACTGAGCCGGCGGATGTCTGGAATGCGTTTGGGGATCACATCATTGCAGACAGCGTGGAAGTCCGAGGCCTTGCGCAAGGAGGCCAGCTCCTCATCCTTGATGGAGATCAGCAGGTCAGGGCTGATCTCAAGCTCAGCTAGCAGGAACTGGTGGGAAACACAGGGGTACAAAGGTGTGACTCTGGGCATCACTGAGGACACAGTCATATTTATTATTACCCATGTTTACTTAGGGTGTTACTGTGGAAAGAGCTCTGGAACCCAAGAGACCCGGGCACCAGTCTGACTTTCTCACTTAACTGTGTGACCTCAACAACTTACTTAACTTCTCTGGGCCTTACTTTCCTTCTCTGTAAAAATCTACTTCACTGGGATGTTGTGAGATGTAAAGAAGATAAATACAGACAAATCTAATGCAGTGCCTGGTTTGAAGTCAGTATTTAAGTGGCCAGCTATGGTTTCCAGTGACCTGGATCAATCCCTTCTTCCTTTTCTCCCTCCCACCCTCCCCAGAGATCTTCTAAAGCATACACTGTTTCAGATAATTTTAAAGCAGAAGCTGGGAGTTTGAAGGATGAAGAGAATTGTGCTAGGAATTAAGTGGGACATAGCAATTGGTCCTTGTCTCTCGCCTGCTCGCTGAGTGCAGGGGCTGGTCCATTATGCTTGTCCCTGCACAGTGCCAAGTTTACCATAGGAACCCAGCACATAACTTTGGGATGGGACGGCCCCACACACTAATCCTCCTTGTGTTCATCTTGCCCTGGTCTAACCCACCCTCTGTGGTTTGCCTGTTTCCTTCTAGAACAGAGGTCTAGTTGTATGACTCCCACGTTCAAGACTTGGCAAGGGCCATGCATCTGCCCCCGGCTCAACTGCATGACTGCAGCAGGCTGTCTCTTTCTGAACAGTCCTGGTGCACAGTCAGGGTACATTAAAGCTGTCGTTGAATTCCCTTGTCCATCAGTCGAGAAGGAGCAGACCTGAGCATAACACTGGCATCTGCAACTCACACAGCTGATAGGTGACAGAGCCAGGCTAATGCTCGGATCTTGAACCTGGGATCGTAGGTGACCTGAACAGAGTGGCTCCAGGGACCTTCCCTGTGGTTGGGAGAAGGATCAGGTCTCCGTGTGCAGGGTGAGAGGAAGAGGGAAGAGTCTGGGGCTGACCCTGAGCTTCCAGAAACTGAGCTAGGCCAGCAGGGCAGCTGGCTGGCGATGCAGTGGCAGCATGTGGGGTCTGGGGGACGCGGTCGCATAAGACAAAGGCTTGGCAGTGCCTGAGCATGGCTGCCAGGTCCTTTCCAGAGCCTTGGCTTGGGGATATTGCCACACTCTGGTGCCTGGTGTTGGGACGATGTCTGTAGACCAAGCCTCATCTCTAATTTTGTCTGGACAGGACTCCTAGTGCCACCATTCCCTGTCATAGCATGTGGGAAGGGTGAGGTGGTGTGGGGAGCATGATGTCTTAGAATGGGCAGGATTTTGTGACCTCCACACACTAGTCTAGGCCATTCTTCACCGTGGCAGAGACCACTACGATCAGGACATGGGTCACTTTTCCTTCTCCAGAAAAGACAGAGGAAGCGCAGTGCCTTGGGGTGACCTGTACTGACCGCACACCCGCCTACCTCATAGAGCAGCTCCACTTCCTCCAGAGAGGTCTGCAGGACAGGGTTTAATGGCAGGGACGAAGACCGCTTGGGCCGATGAGCAGCCGGGAACAGCATGGCTAGAAGAGATAACAGAGTCACCTGGCTACCACGTGCATGCTGACCTTCTCCTGCTGGCACCCTGAGCGCCACCTGGGGTCTTAAAAGCGACTGACTTGAAGTGGTGGTGGGCCCAGGGTGGGAAAGGTGACACCGATTCTTGGCAGCTCAGCCACGTCAGACCAGTGGCTTCAAAACTCACAGAACATCTGAGAAAGGTTTGGAGAATGTTGATGCCTGGGACTATGTGTGCCCTAGGGATTTATATCAAAACAAAACAAAATAGTGCTCACTTTGGCATCACATACGAGTATACTAAAATTGGAACAAGAGAGATTAGAGTGGCCCCTGCGCAAGGATGACACACAAATTTGGGAAGCATTTTATATTTGAAAAGAAAACAAAGACTGGGTGTGGTGGTGCGTGCCTTTAGTCTCTGCTACTCAGGAGGCTGGGGCAGAAGGATTGCCTGTGCCCCTGGGAGTTGGAGGCTGTGGTGACACGTGATTGTGCCACTGCACTCCTGCCTGGGGGACAGAGTGAGACCCTGACTCAAAAACAAAAACAAATAGACAAAAAAAAAAAGCAAAACAAGTGAATAAGTAAAGAAAAAGCCCCAAATTCAACCAGTGAGTTCTCCAAAAACACTGTTCCCTAATAGCATTGCACATTCTAGCACTTTAGGGTGGAGTGATGGTTTATATCAGTCACAGCCCTTTCAACCAGAAGGTCAGACTTCCGGCCACCTGAAGAGAGCTGCCAAGAATCGGCACACAGGTGACAACACAGGATGACAGCTGCACATGACCCCGAACCCTGGGTCTAGGGAATCGAGTGACCAAGCTTGGACTTTCCCCAAAGGCTGCCTGACTTAGAAATGTGTTTAGTATAAAGTCAATGACTTGACAGTGTGGTTCCCAGCGGCAGTGTGTGAAAGTGGGAACCGGAAGAAGATGGGTAGGTTGCCAGAGGTACACGGGACAGCAAGAGTCAGGCACTGACTGGGGACAAACGAGGGAAAGACAGAGCATTAGAGTGTGGGAGTGATTGCCCCAAGGCGCAGTTTTCTGGGACCCTGCCAGGCTTGGAGCAAGTGGCCCGACTCCCTCCACAGCCTGGGGAGCAGGCCCTGTGCGGGATGGTTGGCATGCATCTGCCAGCTGGGAGAAACAGGTGTAGTTTCTCCGAGACTGGGATCTGGTAGATTGTCTGGGATCTACCAGAAAGCTGGGGAATAACTGTGAAGATCGGAGACTCCGAGATGCTGGCAAAGTCATCCAAGTGTGTCTGGTTTAATAGTACACGACAGCTCTGCTAGTTGGTAATGGTGCCCTTGAGCCACCAAGAAAAGGTTGGATCTTGTTAAAGAAGGCAGGAACGTTGGGAGGCACTCCATCAGAGGTGATAAGAGATGCGATTATCTTCAACTTACAGGAACTTTCCTGAGCAGCTCACTGGCAGGAATCTGACACTTCTCGGAAGAAGCTGGCTGGATGTCGTCTTGTGGGATGGTTGCCTTCTCAGTAGCTTATGTGTGACTGATGCCACACGTTCCTCTAGGGCTGGGGTAAGTGTGGCTTTGTGTTTCCGTACCTGTGGCAGAGCACTCGGCATAGCAATGGGCTGACCAAACCCCTTCGCCAAAGAAGGCCTTGGCCGGCAGTGTTTATTCTTTTTGCCAGAAGGGAGCCAGTTTCCTACAGGAGCACAGACTTTAGGGCTCGTGGAGGCCTTCACCTCTGAAGGTTCATTTGCTGCCTCTGCCTGTAGCTTCAGGTGAACACAGGAGTATGAGCCAGCTCTTACGCCACTGGTTGACGCCACTGGTTGACCCCACTGGAATCTCCCCAGGGTCTTTAAAAATGGACCCCTGTGACCCAGCTCCAGAGTGGTGGTTTAATTGAACTAGAGTGCTTCCTAAATGCTTCTAATGACACTCAAGATCCAGAACCACTGTCCAAATCAGGATGAGCTTGACCTGCAGCTGTGTAGAAGCTGTTGCTCTACCCCCCCTACTCCCCCCACCCCATAACTGCATGGCCGTTCTCAGGCTAAACCAGTGGTTCCCAGCCTTGGCTGTGCCCTGGAATCAGGTGGGAACTTTGAGAAATCTAAATACCCTAGGCTATACCCCAGGACAGTTTATGGGCATCTTTCAGAGTGGAATGTAGGCACTGGGACTTTTTCCAGCTTCCAGGTGGCTTTTTCCAGCTCCTAGGTGATAATCGTAGTGTTATCGATATCTGGCAGCTGAACAGATGGTGTCCTTCTACCATAAAACAATTCAAGGCCCACTCCTATCTCATAGGCCTTACAAGGTCATCTGAAGAGCCCAAGGGCATTGTGCTTTTAGAGGTGAGGATGGAAGCACAAAGAGGGTGTGGGTTTGCCTCTGCCTTCTCCTTGGTAGGAGGTGAAGCCAGGGCCACACCTGATCCTGGATTGAGGTGTGATCTGTTTCTCCCTGAGGACTCTTAATTTCTTCCACCATGAAAGGGTGTATGAAACCCCCCCTCAGGATAAGCACCAAGAGCGACTTTACTTCTTTAATTCTGCTCCCAGAATTTCTCTCTTATTGCACGATTAAACATATTGTTCCCTTTTAAGCACCTCCCACTCCACCTGAGATGAAGGGAATAGGGAGGGATCTTCTTGGCCTGGAGGTCTCTCTGCTCCCTGGAGTTGCCTCCTTGGGAGTTAGTCCAGATCCTGGATCTGAACTTTCTTCTCTCTGTTTCCCTGTGACAGCACCACTCCGTTAACATGCTTGCCCAGCTGGACCCTAGTTCGCAAAGAGCTGAGAAGAAAATACTTGCGGATTCAAAGCTGAGCTTGATCAGGAAGACTGTTATTTCTAGTAGTTCCCATTCTCATAGTAACAATTTGGTGGGGAGTGTTGGAGATAGCTTCGGCCATGAGAGAGGGGAACAGTCATTGCTTTAGAAAGTGTGTGGAGATCACAGGAATCTTCAAGATGGGCAACTCCCTCCTGCTCCCCACCCCACCAGCCCACCAGCCTGGCAGTGCTGCTCCTTTACTTCTGCAGTGGTTTGGTCGTGGGCATTGGACAGGGTGGGGCAGTGGTGCCCTCGTGCTGCTGGGGTACAGTTGACCCTGGGGCAGACACTTCATAGCAGAGCAACTGCCAGGTCCAACTCCCGCTTGAGGTAGGACCTGCAGAGGACAGACTCTTTGCCACTGGGGAAGCTGGAAGTGGAAGGCGAGAAGTCACTCTGTCTAGTCTATGTCAAGAAGAGAGGTCAAAAGTTTAGTGTGCATTTGCCCCAAGTTGTTCCTGTGCATAATGATGAAGGCCATACCCCCCGCCCCGCAACACACACACACGCATGCTAGTGGTGGAACCAGGGCTGACCACCTCCAGGGTGTTGCATGAAGAGCTTGTTAGGAAACAGCCCCATCTCCTGAAGTTCTTCCCCAGAGGCCCAGCTTCACATATGCTTCTCCTTCTCAGCCTCTGGGTGCTTTCTGCATTCTTTGTACACATTCCTATCCTGCAGTATGTCACCTGAAAAGTCCGGTCAGCATCACCAGCCCTGGGGGGAGCAAGTGCTTGTGCCCTCCTGTGTGGCCTCAGCATGATGCAGTACCCATGTCTCAATGTAGGTTTTGGGGTGTCTCAGTCTGCCACCCAGGCTGGAGTGCAGTGTCATGCTCATAGCCACAGCAGCCTCAAACTGCTAGGCTCAGGCGATCCTCCCGCCTGGAGCCCAGGGAGTAGTTGGGACTATAGGCACAAGCCACCATGCCTAATATTTTTATTTATTGTAGGGACGAGGTCTCACTAAGTTGCCCAGACTGGTCTCTAATCCCTGGGCTTAGGCAGTCCTCTCGCCTCAACCTCCCAAAGTATTGGGATTACAGGCGTGAGCCACAGCACCTGGCAGATTGATTTTTTAAAACATAAACTAGGTAGTACCAAAACAAAACAGCACAACACAACAACCTGGAGACTGTCCAGGCTTTGCTGGTTTTTCTTCCTTCCTCTTGTGTCCCATCCCTCAAGCGCACGGAGATGGTTTTAATTGGCGCCCTGCACCTTGCAAGGACAGTGAACCGTGGTGGGTACCACAGTGTGTGAGGCTGGGAGGAGGGCCCAAGTGCTCCTGGACAGCCCCAGGCAACAACACCTTCACGGAGAGGACTGGGGTGGGAGGAGGGAGGGTGTATGAGCCACATGGATTCTGGGCCACTTGCCAAAGGTCATGCCCTGCGGGCTAAGTCAGCTCAGGAACTGGACCCAGAGTTCATGAAGTTCCATGTTCTGCCTATATCTTCTGGGAGAGACACCTCTGGACCTCAGCTAAAGCTCTTAGAACATGGGGAGCTCAGATGTGCTGACAGCGCACCACGGCCCTGCAGGCCAGCGCGGGAATCTCCAGATGTGCCTCATGAGGGGAACGTGAACTTCCCTTTCATAGAGGAGGAACCTGGCACTTAGAGAGGCTGCCTGAGACTGCCCCACTTGTTTGAGCTGGGACTGGGATTAACATTCAGATCTCCCAGGCTCCCAGGCCAATCTCACTGATAAACCGGACAATGCTATCTACTGGCCGGCTGTCTGCCCAGGGACTGGGTGGCCCTCAATACTGAATAACTGCAGGAGGGACAGATGTGGTTAACGGGATGAATGGGCGTGTCTGAGTATTTTAATCATATTCTTAGCCAAGGCCCACATTGTCATGGCTCACTTTAATCTGTAATAATGTGGCAGGCAAGTCAATTACTGTACCTTTGGGACCACTCTTTGGCACAGACTTCCACACTTCCCCCCACCAGTCCTTGCAGTCTGCCCCCTGGTCTGTACTGGCACCTGCACCCCTGAATGTGGCTGAGAGAAACTGCCACAGCATGGGTGGCCTCCTTTTTTTTTTTGAGTTGAAGTCTCATTCCTTCGCCCAGGCTGGGGTGCAGTGGCATGCACGCTCACGGCGACCCTAGCATCGACCTGCTGGGCTCCAGCGATCCTTCCGCCTCTGCTTTCTGAGTAGCCAGAACTA